AGGCGAATGCAACGAATCACCATGTCTACGAGAGTTTGAAAATTCTCGCCGGTTCCGCCATGATAACTGCACAAAGATCGCCACTGCGCTAGCAACTAGCACGCCTTTCACTGGGGGCGTATAGCAGTTCTCGCCGTAAAGCAAGACCAACTCTCGCGATGCACGAGACTTCTGAGCCTGTGGGCGGGGCCAAGGGCTCCTGCAAATGCAAGTACGGTATTTCCCCCACAGACCACCAGGGCGGCCGAGAAAACCTTTGTTCAACCTGAAACGACTCATTTAATCATCCAAAACATTCTGGAACACATTAATTAACTGAAAAATGTTGCATAGTGTGCCTTTAAAAGCAAATAATGACTAGACAAAACAAATTTAAAGATATCTTGAATTGTAATGTCGACTATTCGAAATTCCTTTTAAGATATCTCTAAATTAATTAAAGATATGTTGAATTATTCAGCTTTTACATTAAAGATATATATAGTCAAAATGTTTAATGATCCTTTTAATGGGCTTCCAGGAGGATCATTTCTTAAAAATTCCCTACCGTCAGTTTGATCCAAAGGAGGAAAAGTTAAACCAGCGTGTGACGCTTTAAATGACAAATCCGGTGACGTAATTTGAGATATCTTGAAAGGAATTTTGAATAGGAAAAATGTAATTTAAGATATCTTGAATTATTATTCTTCCTAATCAGAATGTAAATACAGATATCTTACATTACCATTCCAGATAGTCAAAATGTATTTTAAGATATCTGGAACGTAATTGTGGATGGTCAGACGGAACAAAATTTATGTTAAAAAGGCTTTCCATAGGCGGACGGACTCCACACCTGGTCTCCGTCTGACGAGCCAGATGCTGAAGGGAAATATGAATGGAGGGAGGAACCAGAGCAGAGCAAAGATCTGGAGATCAGAACCAAACCGATCCAAGAAGCTTGAACTGGAACCATAATGAAGCCAAGAGAACTGGCCCTTATGGACCGGATGGAACCAGCTGGGAATAAAAACGGTTCCTACACTGCCAAAACCATCTAGAAATAAGTAGAAATGTCCTAAATTAAGTGTATTTACCCTTCATTTGGGCAGGTAAATAAAATGCCAATGGAAATTAAATTAAATTAAATTAGGATAATTCGATTACATGCACTTGAAATAAGACAATAATTGTTATTTCCTATTTTACATCTAAATTGTCGTGTTCCATGAGCAAAGTGTCTCACTCACCTCCTCAATTCAAGAAAAAATTACTTATTAAAATTAGTATTTTTTGCAGTGAATGATCTGAAACCAATGAAGCAGAAGCAGGATTATCGTTTTGACGCCTCGGTTCATGGAGGTTTGGTTCTGCTTCTTCTCAGCAGCAGCTTCTCCTTCCTGTTGATGATTAACGATCTGGGTTCTGCTGGTCCAGATTAGCGCACCTGGACCGGGTCGGATGGAAACGGATCCAGCTGTACTGGACTAAAATCTGGTAAAACGGAGGAGGAAAAAAAACCCTGTGGGAGACGGACCTCAGGACGGTTGGAGGATCTAAAAATAAGATGCGGACAGAACCGGAGACGGGTCAGATTTTACGATCCGGTTTCAGATTCATTGACATGTGCAAAGCTTCCCTCTGAGCGGGCCTCAAACCGGACCTTAGACCCAGCGCCCCACGCCGCTCCACGGGACTCCAGAACCGGTCAGCTGAGAGGAGATGATAGTTCTGTTCAGATCATGGTTCCATCTCACCAGATCCTCCAGCAGGATTTGTGGTTCTGGGTTCTGGCCCGGTTTAGCAGCAGAACCAGGATGTTCTGGTTCTGGCAGAGTGAAAGCAACAGATGAGCTGATTGAGAAACGCTCAACAGGATGTTTCTTTCTCACTTCTGTCCAACTCTCATTTCCTCAAATGTTGCGAGATGAAGCCGAGCCGCTCCGGTTCTCTAACGACCCAGAACCCCAACTGAACCCGCACCTGTCCCCCCCCCGCACTGCACCCCCAGCCACCGGAACCAGCAGATACATACCAGAGACATCCCTCGGGCCACCCTCTGAGTGGCAATGTCCCCCCAGAAGTCCCCCATGGCTGCAGCAGAACGGAGGAGGAACAGAAAGCAGCAGATCTGAACTCCTCCTGCTCAGAAACAAAAACTCCAGAAGCAGAAACCCAAACGCCGCGCCGCCAGAGACCACGGCTGTATTTATAGCAGAGCTGTTGCCTCACCGAGCAGCACTCAGAGCCAGCGGCATGACGGAAACTCTGCAAACAGAACCGCTGGGGGAGAAAAAAAAAACAAAACACTGCAGAGTCAGAGGCAGGGGGCGGAGCTTGGGTGGCATCCACCTTTCTGGGCAGGAAGAAGGTAAACAGAGCAGATCAAACCGGACTCCTGAACCTCTGCAGGTCAGAACTCTGATACATGATAATGAACAGAGGTTTGGAGCGGTCAGAATCTCTGGTCACTGATTCACAGAACAGCAGCAGCTGGAAACATCTGCATCATCAGCAGCCATGCATGGCTGCTCTGTCCGTCTGCTGACCATCGTTAACGTTTGGCTGATTTTACAGCTGAACCAATCAGATTAATGGATTACTGAAATAATCAACTAATTAAACAATCAACTATTAATTAACTGGAGAGTAGAGGCTGACAGAAAGACCCACAAATATATAAACAACAACATATATAAACTGGTTCTATTCAGTTTATTTCTATAGCTCCAATTCACA